AACACTAGGAGCGTTGTCCACAGTGCTACTGGGGCAACGAAGCCACCGTGGGTTGGCGCTGTAGAGCAGGTGAGTGACGTCAAGCTAGTGAGCACAGCGGGAATTTGATATTTCGACAACTGGCAGTTCTTTTTTTTTATCAATTTCCTTCGCGATTAAAAAAATTTCCTATTTGGACATAAATAACAATGAGTAACATGAAATGACTTAATACTAGATTTTAATTTTAAGCGTAAATATGTATTGTACACACATTAATTTAACCTACAAATGATAAAAAGTATTTTAACAAACATAAACAAACATGAACCTTGGTTTGTATGTATGTACCTAAGTTCGTGTGTAACGGGCATTACACGCACATTAGGGTGCAACAATCTGCACAAAAAAAATCGGTACTCTTTTTCCATCGGAATTATAAAATCGTAGATTTTTAGACTTCTGGCAAAATATTTTAGAAAAATATTCAGACTCACGCGAGCTGGACCAAGTTGAAAATATCTACAAAAATCTGTTTTTTTATTTTTTAAAAAGTAGTTAAACATTTTTTTTTAATTCAGATGATAGAAGAATTTAAGTTTAGTAGGTCTGCATAAAAATGTTGAAAAATTTTGTCAACGGAATCAAAATATGTAATGAGAATTTCAAATCGGTCCAGCTCAAATAAATCTTAATATTTATCCGCAGTATTTTGGCGATAATCTTAAAATATAAGAAATTTTATAATTCCGGTGGAAAAACCAAATATTTTTTTTTTATGGTGAGGTACCCTAATATCCATACATATGTATTTGTCTGTTCGTATGTTCACATGTGCGGATGATTTCTCTATGAACTTCTTGCCTGCATGGCACTTGCACACACGTGATTGTGTGTATGTATGTAAGTGTTTTAAGTGCTTCATTCGTGTATCTAATTTATAACTAATTAATTTTTCTTATACTTACTTATTTTATAATATTTTACTAATTTTATAATTATGAATTATTGTTTCTAACATTCTCGCCATTACCGATTTTTGCGAACCCCCAGAATCGACGTTTTTGTGTGAATTGTTTGTGTTTATTCTTTGCATGCTGCTTTAAAATTTTTTACTTCTACAACTACAACAACCAACAAAAAATATGTGTGCGCATTCTTCATTTACGAAAAATGTGCGCCAACACGAAAAAATGCAAATTTAGAAGCCGCTGGTGCGTCATCCCGGCGATCCAATGGCCCTGGAGAAGCTGCGCCAATGCGAGGTGCATATGCAGGCGCCCAAACGTCCAAACTGCTGTAAGACATGGCTATCAAAGTTTCCTACAAGGTAATTTCTTTCGACTAAATATAAATGATTTTATCAAAAATTTATTTTTATGTAGTTATGCATTTGCTTTTGATTTGATTTGAGTTGAGTTCAATTGCAGTTGGGTTTTCTTGGCTGTTTGAGTTGTGTTGCTTTGCCACTTTTCGCCGCTTTCTTACTTTATTGAATGGTAATTTTTTTGTATTTTATATAAAGTTTTTTGCAATCATTTTACTGCTTTATTGGAAATGTCCATTTTTTCAAAACTTTTTTTGGATTCGTTTGAAATTTTTGTGATGTTTATGTGGAGTTGAATAAGTTCACGCTGTTTCCACGCGAATTTTATTATCCTTACTCCTTTGTGAGATATCGAACTTCGTGGAAAATCTCTATCTAGTTGAAAACTCTCCCAGTTTCTTTCATTTGACTCGATTTGTCACTATTTCTCCAAGTTGAAAATTATTTTCTGCAGCATCGCTGTCAGCAGGCTCTATTCACTGAATTCTGAAGTGTGAAGTCTTGAAGATTTTCAGATTGTTCTCATTCTCTTAATTCATCTTGAGCTTCTGACGAGCAAAACTGGTTAAATACAAACCATAGACGCTTACTAATGTGTGCCTTATTTTTATGGAGATAATTTTTTTGTAAGCTGCAAAGTAAAATTCCCCATAGAGAGGCGCATTTGCTCTGTGAAGTTATAGAGCCTTTTTAGCGTAACTTTGGGGCTCCGTCGGGATGTCATTCCATTATCCACATATAAACAGGAAATAGTAGTGTATCTCATAATGCGCCCAGTGATGATAAGGACAACTCTGGTAGAAGGCTCACTTCGTAATAGGTGGTCGTAAGATGGGAATACGCAAAAAAGGACGAGAAATAAAGGACAGCAATAACTAGCGGCAAATGATCATATATGAATCTGTAAATCTTAACATACATATATATCTTACCACATTAAACAAGCAATTCTTATATATATATATATATCCAAAGGGTTCTCGGAAACGGCTCTAACGATTTTGATGAAATTTTGTACACAAATAATGTTTTGGATTTTAAGGTTATCTGAATAGGCATTATATCGAAGAAGACTCACATAATTAAAATATCATAACATGGGTATCAAATAGAAGGCAATTTAAAGATCCATAATTCAAAAATATTTTTAATAGGGTTGCCACCTATTTTGAACCGCATGTTTATTTTTTTTTTTGTTTAGAAAAAAATGGTAAAATATTACTATTCAAGGGTACCAAGAGAAGGTTCGTAAACAATGCTTTCCCTATATACAAGATGTTATCCCTTAGGATAATAGTGTAAAGTTGCCACTTATTTTCGATTCTACACAAAACTTTGGTCAGAAAATATTTTCCATCAGGGTTGCCACTCTTCTACTTAATAAAAATTTTTTATTTTGCTAATTTCAATCCGCATTTTCTCAAGTATACATAGTACATATACGCTCAAGATATGTACCATGGAATAGGGTTGCCACCTAAATTTTGGAGCAAGAAATTCACTTAATAGATATCGAAATCCATTTTTTTTTTCAAAATATTTTTTTAAAGCTATCCAAATCTTGAAAACTTTAGAACGTATATACACTCCGGGCAAAGCTCGATCAACCTGGTACTATATCTTAGTTAAAGCAGCAGCGAGAACTTATTCAATTCCATCATATATGTACATACTTAATGTTATGTCTAAACATAGGTATATTTTAAAGCAATAAAACAAAAACACAGTTTTCCAATTCATTAAAACGCGCAATTCACACAAAACACACTGCAATCTATCAACTAATCAATTCTCTTGCGTATTATGTATATTTTCCCCCTCAAAATGCTGCGCAAATTCACTCACCAAAGACAATGTTCTAGATCGAAGAGGATCGATGTTATATCACGAATAACGTTCCCGCTGGTATTTGCGTTATTCAATCTGGTCTACTGGAGCACTTATCTCTTCAGGGAAGAGGAGGATGAGTAAATGCCAAAATCATATTTAACTGAATTACTGAATTTAGCCAAGAATTTGTTACAAGAAAACGCTAATGTATTCATTTTGTCTACATACTTTTTTTCTCTTTCTTGCTTTGATTTTGGTTTTTCTTTTGCTTTGTGTTGCCTTTAACTATTCGCCAACACTTCATTTGCTTCTTTTCCGTTTGGCTTCTTCTGCGTTAATTGGAAATTTAAAGGACCTTCTAAAGGCGATCGGATTGTGATGTTGAAATCAATGAAAGCAAAGTGCAGAAAACTAGGAATAAGCAGCTATGTAGAATCCAAAAATCAAAAAAAAATATATATATATATATAAAAATCATGAAAATAAAAAAAGCATTACGCGCGCAATAAAAGAAAGTA